TGCCCTTGCTCGGTATTTGTCTTGATTTTTACCATGCTATTGCTGTGTTCCTTATACGTGGGGGAAAGTAAGAATATCTGTGCCTTTCTGTGAGGGAGTAAGAAAGTTTTTTCTTGGTATTATGTTTCATTTTGAACAAAAAAGAAAAGGGCAAAAGAAGAAATTAAAAGAAAATAACATTTGTGGTCTTTGGCATTTACATGTTAGTTCTGAGGGACTGGATCTGTCTCTTTTGAAAATGTGGCAGCATGTGTTTGGGCGACAGCAGTTCTGAAATGTTTTACTTGAATGGGAAATAAACTGTTCCTTGCTCTTATCTGGAACATAGTATTTGAACATAGTTTTAAATTACCATTATTTGGCTTGCTTGCTTTGTTTTTGTACTGCTTTTAAGATAAACAGCTATTCCTTGGAGTAAAAATACTGCAGTGTTACAGACACAGAACATCTTATATGATGATTAATGTTAGAGGAGGATGTTTGGTTTCTTTGTGTGGTGTTTTTTAGTTCAGTTTTATTTAGCTCAAGCATTTACTGTTGTTAAACTCAGCACTATCTTTGCTTTTCAGCTATAGTATGATGGTTTGTTTCCTATTCTTTTGAATCTTTCAGGCCTTTCCAAGTTCTGTGTTAGATTAATCGACTTCTGTTCTCAATTAATCAACCAGGTTAAAGAAAAAAAAGCACACTAATTTATGATAATGTTAAAAAAAAAAATTCTGTCCTTAGCTGAGTAATAAACTGATGCTGTCTAATCCTGCTGTTGTTGTATAAGGACTTTTCTTTAATCCCTCCATAGAGAAGGTAGAGCATCAAGGGCTTTATGGCTTTGATGTGGGTTTTTTAAATTGTTTTTTCAAACTTCACTTTGTGCTTTCTGATCCTTAGATCAGCCTCAAGACAGCAGTCACTGTCGTTTCTGGGACAGTGATTCAGTGAACTGTTGTAAATATTTCTCATTTTAAAATTAAGTAAAAAAAAAAAAAAAAAAGAAAAAATAGAAAGGAGATGGGTCTGGAGATTATTTTTAAATTGTGTGTCTTAAACACTTTAAAAAAGTATTTGTTCAGACATTGAGTGTAAATGATGAAGGGATGTATTCATTGCTAAAGGCTGTGTGAAGATAAATTCCCTAAAGACATATATTACAGGTTTGTCAATATTAGAAATATTATTTCTAAAGGTATTTTTCTTTCCATGGATAAAGATGCTGTTGAGAAAGACAAACCAATCTGGGAGAATATTTATGAAATATGATTGACTATGGACTTGAGAAGAGTTTTTTTAGGCCTTCTTATTTCTGATAGCGTTAGTAATGTTTTCATTTAGAAATACAAGACTTTCTGAGGTGAGAGAAATAATAAAGGGTTCAAAGATCAAATCTAAGGTTGCTAAGGAGAATATGTATTTGTAACTTAATATTCTGTAGTAATTTGTGTGAAAGTGATGTGAAGTATGTTTTTAACATTTGCATAAAAACAAGTGAAGGATCTTATCTTGTTAATGTTCACACTTGAACAACATTAAAATGAGTCTGTAATCTGTGTTGTATAATTTTTTTTTTTTCCTACTTACCTGCCAGACTTCAAGTATATAGGCAGTATATGTGCACAGTTGTGCACAGTATTGCAGAGAAGACTATTTGGGGTGGGGTTCTGGATTTATACCTCTTCTATTATTTTGTTATTTATAAGAGAATTACCCAGGCTGTTCGGTAGAAATAGACAGTGTTTCTAATAGTTTTCTCACACTGTAGTGTAAAAACAGGAAAGGTAGGTTATTTTTTCTTTTCTGTTAGTTTTGGTACTTGAGAATAAAAGAATAATGTAGAAGTGGTTGAATACTTCAATTAATAACGAATGTTAGTGATGAATGACAGTTGCAAGATTTAAGCAAAGTTGGTCAGCACTATATTTCTAAAAATTGACTGTCACAAACAGCAGTTTTGTAGTGAGAATTTTCCCAGTTAACAAGAGTAACGGTGGGATGGATAACTCAGATTAAGCAAAAATGCAATTTAAAATATACATTGATTTGACTGTAAGTAGGCTTTCCTAGAAAGCAGGGGCAGGCTTAGGTTGGTGTGAGAAGAGCAGTGTTCAGCTGCAAGCATTTGTGCTCTGCACTATATATTCCCTGACATTAAGCTTTAGCAGTTGTGTTTTTTTATGGGAATAAGTTAGTCTGCAACTTGTATGCTTCACACACAATCAAGACTTGAACATACCGTTACTATCCTCTGCTGCTGCTCCTCTATTCTACTGAAAAAAATCTACAAGGTAGTGCTTTAAACAGATTTTGAAGGGGTGAGTGAAGTGTCCCACAAGTCTTTTGTATGGCATTACTTGTATGGCAGGTCTACTGTATTGCCACAATAAATATTATGTCTGCAAAGTGGATTTACATTTGCAAATAATTTTCTGATCTAGATACACCCTTAGTCTGCTATGAGGCTGAACAGTTGAAGCATGTTGGCATTGCTGGAAGAGCAGATTGTTGAAGCTGATATTGATAACGAAGGAAAAAAAATTCAAGTTTTATTGGAAATACAGAACAGAAATGAGTGATAGGAAAAAACAGATTGATGTACATTCAGCTCAATATTGTTACTGGTCGCACAAATAGAAGGCAAAAAATCCTGCATACTGAAGCCCTTCTCACTGCTTTGAGCTAACTTGCTGTGAATGGAGAAAGTAAATTAAAACATATCAGATAATTTATTGCTTGCACAAGGCATTCAGAGGGCACCAGTTTCCTATTTTGGTTTGCCCACAAAATATTAAGAGCGCTAATTAGTGTTACTGTTGATATTGAGTACTATTTCAAAAATATATACAACATTTTAATGTAAAATTAATAATGTGGTAGTGGTTAGGTCTTAGAAAGTTTACATGTATATATATTACATAAATGTGCATATATTTGTGTATACACATATCATTTTGATAGGAAGAGTTTTGGTGATATTTACTGATCCTATTAATACTAGAAAGAGCTTTATTTAGTAATAATCATTTGTGATAAGAATAAGATTGGAGGCCACTGCTTATGTAATGTACACTTACACTTCTAGCTGTGTTTTCTCCATCTTAAGCATTTATCAAAAGAGGGATGAGAGAATTAGTGGCTTTTATTTTTTTCTAGTATAAATTTGGCTTGCAGTTAGGTTTTTACATGCTTCGGTTATTTTTTACCTTTTGCTAAAAACCTGGAAACATCAAAGTTTTGTAACTTACATGCGAGAATGAAAACTGAGTTTTATTCTCACTGTTGGGCTTGTTTTTTTGTTCTCAGTTGTATGAAGACAATGGAATTTCTTTCTTGTTATAACAACTTAAAATGGAAAATATTGGGGATTGCTATGTTTTCCTTGGGTAGTGGGTTCAGGGCAAACATATTTTTATCTTGCATTTCATAATTGCATCATCTTTCCAGAAAGATGAGCCCACAGTTGATGCTTGACATAGTTACTTAAAAAGTGACTGAAAGTCACTTAGTTCTCAACACTCCTAGTAGCAGAGCATCAGTATGTTCATAATTAAGTGTGCACTTAATTCCCCATAGCACAAGCACTAACAAATCAAGGCTTAGCTAAATAAGATAAACAAAAGTAATACAAAATATCTTCTAAAATCAATATTCTAGATGTAATGATACATCATCATGCATTTGATGCTTAACTATTTCTACAGATCAGGAATCTATACTAGCTTCAAAATTAGTACAAAGTTGATCTGGTAATAGTAACTAGCAGACTTTTGGCATTCATTTATCTGAAGACTTTGCACCTGTGGTAGGTATTTGAGGGGAGAAACCGAACATGAATGTCAGAAATGTATAGTTGTGTAATTAAAAATATTGTGTCCTGTATTGGTTATGTTTAGTTTTAGGGGAGCTGACTGTTGAGGCCTGTACACATCAATTTTTGTTTTTAATATGCTGCATGGTTTACAGTAGTTGAGTGAAATGATGCTTGAAGTGAACGCTGTTTTTAGGTTACTGATAGAATCAACTTTTTTTAATTTAAAGATCTGATTTTATTTTTCCCTAATGAGTGAAAATATTGTTTTATCAGGGTAATCCTGTTTCTTTGCACTGACATCTAGCTGAAATCTTACTTTTTACATGTAAAAAAGTTTAATTCAGCTTTGCTGTTAACTATATTGTCGCATTTCCTTATCAAGAAAAAGCCGTGGAGCAAGGCTTGGTCTACATCATCTGTTAATAACAAAGATACTTGGGGTCCTACTATGCTGAACTTTGACCATTGTATTAAAATGTGAAACTGGTGTTGCAAAAATGACTCTTGTGAGTACAGCTGAGCAAAATTTGTATATTTCAATTAAAAATACCTTGTGTAAAAATAAAATACATACACAATATACACACACAGACTCTTAGATTATTTTGAAAGCAAAATAGTACAGGGAGATTTAACATATCTTTGAAAAGTTCCGCTTGCTACATTGTTTGGTATACTAAGCCTAAATAGGAATTATTCTCATTTTCTGTAAACCAAGTTTTTAAGGAAGCTTTAATGAAGTTAAGCTTTGAGAAGTTCTAATTCGAAACATAACTTTCTTTTGTGTGCAACTTCATCCAGTACACTCTTGAAGGTCAACTGAAAAAGTTTAATTTGAGATTAAGTGAGTGGGATTGGAATTAAGATGTATTTTTCCTCTGTAGCTTGCGCAAAGAATTTATCTGAAGGTAAAATGTAGTGATTGTTCTGAGTACTGGCAAAGAATATGAACAAGCAATCACAGTGTGATTTTTACCTACATGTAAAGAATATGTGGTGAAATAAAAGTTGAGAAGATATGTGTGTGCATATATGTATTTTTACACTTTCATTAACAGAAAAGATTGAAAGCATGGGTGGCATTGTAACTACTAAATAAAATGGCTGTTTTGAAATAGTTGTTTCAGAGGAGAACCACATTTCAACATAGTAAAAGGTTCTGGGTATGCAGGGAAAATGACATTAGTAAGGGAAAGGATATAAGCATGTAAACAGGGGAAAAAGAAGGATCTTTTGTTACCATGTATACCATGGCATGTATAATTACATAAGTAGTGGCTAGTAGTATGTTCCTACAGGCAATGTTCTCAAGCAGGAAAAAGCGTTAACATGCTTTGCCAAGAGGATCGGATTGCCTTCCATCCTTATCTCATCCATACTTGTGCGGATGTAACGTGTGTTATTAGATTTGCAGAATGTGTCATCGGTGATTGTAGTAATATTGTTGTACTGCAAAAGAAAACAATTTTTTATAAACAAACACACATATATAGACACACCCATAAATGTTGAATTTTCAAACTTCAATTTTATTCTTCTTACCCTCCCATTTCATTGTCATTGGATTGATTTGTGTATACTTTAGATCTGTAGGAATCAAGTCTCTTCAAGCCAATCAATGAGCTGATAAACTTACTGATGTTTGAAATGTTTTGTTGATAAAAGATTATTGCTTATTTTTACCATTTCCCATCCTTGCTGTATGGAAACTACTGAGAAATTCTTGCATGGTAATTAGCTAAGAAACAACTTCTGAACTTCTGTATGGTTGTGGCTATACAGATTAGAGGTAAATTGTTTTAAATTGTATTTGGAGGAGCATTAGACAACTGTAGAACAACTTCAGTGTGAACTGTTTTAAAAGACAGTGGGTTTGCTTTGAAGTGTGTGACTAATGAGGCTCTTTGTAACAATGTTAAGGAAATACTTCAAAAATACCTGAAGGTGAAGAATACGCAGGCTTTCCGGTAAGTTAAGGGGCACAGATTCCAGTGCATTATGTCCTAAGTAGAGGTAGGCCAAATTTGTCAGCTTCTAATAGAAAGAAAGACAGATTATTAATGCTGATATTAACTTACCTGAGGTTAAGTAACTGGTGCCTGTTACAAGACATAAGTATTTTTTTTTTCTGATCACATAGAAAGCTTGTAAAGTGATCTAACATGAAACATTCCTTTTGCTGTGAATGTTGAATTCTATTCTATCAGGAAACTCATAGAACGGCCCTTCTATGTTTTGTCATGAAGCTGACCATGTCAGCTGTTTGGTTATAAAACTTGAGACCACTATGAAGCTATATCCTTGTTCATTAGTATTTATGTGGTCCTTGGAACTGTATTTCAGCCATCAATTTCTGAATTGGGTTTGTCTTTGCATGTAAGAGAGAAAGGAAGTAGGTAAGATATTTAATAGAAATTTTTTTTTTATATGGACATCATGAGAGAGTGAGTGTGCAAAGGACTATTATTCCATAGTGCCGTAAACACAAAACAAAAGCTGGAAAGCTGCTTTGTCGTAGTTTGTTTCTTAGATTACAGAAATACAGAAAAATCAGTTTTGTGGTATACTGGATAGTCTGCTTACTAATTTTATTTACTTTGGTTACCTAAATTATTGTCTTTTACTCACCTTGAAAGCATTTGCTTTGATTCCTCTGCTCTTGATTCTGTTTTGGTTTGCATTAAATGTTGTTAGTTTGGGAGGTAGAACAGGAAGTTTTATAAGTCGATTTTCAGCAAGAGAAAGTTCTTCCAATAACAGAAGCTTAGAAAAGGCTCCATCTTCTATTTCTTCTATCCTATTTCCACTAAAATCAATTCTTCTCAAGGTAGCTTTACACAAAAGAAAGGAAAATCTAAATATTGAATTTATAATTACATTGCATGTGAAACGAATATAGTTGTCTATGTTAAATGTTATACTGTTGGCTGCACCATCCAAATTGTGATCTACAAATCTAAATAATATTAACATATGGATAAAATCCACATTTGGATTTCCTTGTGGTCTCGAATTAAAAAAAAAAAAAAGGAGGAAAATACTCTGGATCCTTCCTTTTTTCTTAGAGACATGATTTCAGATAGTCATAGAACTTTTCATGCTGTAGAGTGAGATAGCTGGGAGAGGCGTCCCTGGAGCATTTGAAGGAAAAATAGTACCTGGTCATTTAAGACTGGCTGGAATGTAGATTAAAAAATTATTTTTAGCTATCTGCTCTTTCTCTGATTGTGTGGGAATATTAAGATGGACATATGGGCCAAAAAAAGTTTCCATATTGCCTTCACAGTTCCTGTTCTAATGCAAGCATTGAATTAAATAAGTAATACACATAATGAAAACTAGCAAAGTATAAAATATATTGTATTTTGGTAATCTTGGCATATGATTATGGGATAAGAACTTCAAATATCAGGTAAACAAATTAAAATTTGAACATACTAATGTCAGCAAAATCTGAGACGGCTATCCTTTTTATTTTGTTAAATCGTGCGTAAAGATACGCTGTTTCCTTTGGCAGTGGGGGTACAGCTTCGATGTCTATTTCCTCACAGTACACTGATCCGCTTAAACACACGCAGAGCAGACAAGTAGGTAAATCTGAAAGCAAATTTAAGACAGTTAAAAGTTACTCAACTAACTTAAGCTTGAATAGTCAAAATAAAATTTTCTCTAGTATCTTTTAGGACTTCCCTTCATTAGATTATTTTAAAAATTCTACTCGCATCAGGTTCTGAAAAGATTTAATATTCTGAACTTTTTTGAATTTTGTATTCTTTTTGTCATGCATAATTTCCCTGTGTGTTTTCTCTGTTCTTATATGAGCATGTCTTGAAATGCTGTTAATCGATCTGAATTCAGTTTCATTCTTTAATAATTGCTTTAGAGTGTTGTGAATATGACAACTGCCAACTCTGTGACCATGTTAAATGTCATCTTCAGAACCATTCTTTTGAAAAGAAATCCATGCAGGAGACACATCTGGCAGTGCACACATTTGATTCTGTAATTGCATTAGAGAATTTCTGGCAGGGTCATGTATACTTTGTGTAGCTCCTAGCTACTGTTTTGTCTAATCCTTTTAATAAAAACTCCTGCAATGATAATTGTATAATTACTTTAGGCAATCTGTTCCATTTTTTTACTGAGGTTTTTAATATCTGTTATTTTAAGTAGTGAGAGAAACTCCGTATCTTTTTAAATGCAGTTTGGACCCATTATGGTTTGTCCTGTTCCTTGCAGACATTTGTAGAGTGTTAGTAATTTCTGCTTTGCTTTAATCTTGTATGACCGCTATATTCAAATACATATAATGAATACGACTTTGAATCCAGTTTTGTCACCACTGCTATTTGACTGACTGAGATTTTTGGCTAGCTTCCAAACTGGTCTGTCTGTAGTGCAGAGAGTAGTATCCTACTGCTAGGTAGTTTGTTATCACTACATAGGAAAATGGGATCTTCTGCAACCAGTGAAGACTTACAGAAATAGCCAGTCAATAGTGGGAAACCACCCAGTATGTATAATGCAGTAATTCTTTTTTCTTACAGAGGTACTGCAGAGAATGGAATTGAGATTTTGAGCTTTAGCTTTGTAAACATTACCATTTATTAGGCTTCAGAGTTCTACCCCATTTGCCTTTTTTGATTTAGTGTCCTGTTTGTCATATGGTACAGTGTAGAAAATGAAAAATGGTTGTGAAACAATGTTGTCACTATTTAACAGGCAACAGTTTTTATGCTCCTCTGACTAGAAGCTCTGGTGTTCTTACAGATTTGTTCCACTTTTGATGAGGGTTTGTTGACAGATGCTATTTGGCAATAACTAACCTTGATTAAAACTTTGATTGACAATCCTGTGGTTTTGCTGTATCATCAGTTATTTTTGGAAGTTTAGGTCACAGACACACCCAAAATATGTGTGTGTCTTTTTCAACGCTCTGTTTGGCAGACAAAAATTTTGTTCCTTTCACGTTTAGAAATCGTTATGGCTAGCTAGGAGAAAACTGGACAATATACCTTGGATCCTGTAGGAACGTAGGCTAGTGAAGAATGTTCCTGATGTATTTTAACCATTGATCTCCCAGATCATCAGATGTGAACTGTGAGAATAGCCAGTTCTTTGAGTAAATGTATTTTAAGGAATTTAAGGACACCACATCTCATCATGACTTCGTTAAACTGTGGAACTTATTGGGGTGTGTATTTTGTTATTCTCGGTTGTCTTGCGTAACTTATTTAACTTGGGTACATCTCTAGAGCAGATATGACTGGGTAAGTCTGTAAAGATTCTTAAGCTGTGCTTTGTCTATTAGGAGTTTTCCTGAGGATTCTTTAAATTTTTTCAGCCTGCTCCATCAGAAGTTAGAAGACTTTCCACAGGAGATATGAAAGATATTCATAAATGAAAAGATTAATTCTATATCCCTTGTCATCCTTTGTATATTAAATTTTCATATCAAAATATATATTCTTTTGGAGAGCTTAAATGTTACGGTATTCATATCAATGAACTTACTTGTATCCTTTGTGGGTGGTACATTGAGTTGACTGTCATCCCCTTGCAGTCTTAGGGAAGTGTCAAGAGAAACATTTATTCCATCCTTTGTGTGAGAGCAAAGGTTATTTTAAAAAATGAACAGCAAACAAAGCACCACAGAGTATTACAAGGATCTGAAATAGCATGTCCTCTAAAAATGAGCTTCCTACAACATTCCTCTTTATGACATTTCATTTTCAAAATACTGTCATGTGCTGGATGACAAATGTGATATATTATCCCTTTTGTGCATGAGCTATTCACTTTGAAAGGCAAGAAGGGAAGGTGATGCTGCTGGTGTTCTTTAGAAAAGTAAAGTTCTGTAAGAAAGAACAGTAGACACAAAAATAGACACAAAATGTAGATTACATGGTGGGGAAGGAATATGTAAGTGACAGCTGTCTACAAAAACCTGGAGTTCTGAGGACAGATGATTTTGCATATCGTGCAAAATTTGATAGGATTCTTGTGAATATAAGTTGTTTGGGTTTTTTGTTTTACCTAAATAATCTCAGTAAAATAACATTTCCTTGCATTCCCTGTAGAGATAGTCATTGCATCTTTTCAATTGCAGCACAATTAGTTTATAAACATGTTCCTTTCAGATATTGGCTGAAACTTAGCAATTCACTTCCATTAACTGCACTTTAGTCTTCTTTAAGATGTGGGCTGCTTAAGAGGAAGGGCCTTTTGAGATGCAGGAAATGGTAGTCAGGTTTTCATTGAATACCGTATGAATTTTAGAGAATTACATATTATTTCTAGAATTATAGTATATGTACAGTGGCTTATACTATGATTTACATGTATTAAAGTTAAGGGTAGGCTAGGTTGACTGTGGCAATTGTTCTTGGCTAGCATCATTCATTGTCTTTTTTGATGGGGAATATTTGTAGGACAGAGTAAGGCAATATGCCTTTTGGTCTGCATGGCTATTGAAAACACATGGAGAAAAGTACATTATCGGGTGTGGAAGATGTTTTTCTTTAAACGTGCTTAAGGATCAAGCCCTGGCAGGAGTACAGTGCCCTGTTCAAGAGAGCTTCTTAAGTACTGCCGGTGCTCACAACTGAATTAATTTTTTTTTTTTTTTATTCTCTCCTGCTTCAGGCATGTAGCACACAGCTCATCTATAGGGCAGTGTGAAAGTAATGCTATCTGTCAAGCTACTTTTGATACTAACTTTGTTTTATTTAGTATTTGGTTGCTTGCTTATACTTTACTGTGGGAATTTTTGTATTCTGCAAAATAAAACCTTCAAGCTTGACATAAAGCCTGAGAAAAATGTCTTGGCTAGCCTCTGTCATTTTGGACCCTTTTTAGCCTGTGAATCATCTGTCCCTTGGCTCTTCCCTGCATCTATCTATCCAGGCTATGTCTCTTTTTTGCCTCTTGTTTGGGATGGGTTGGTTTGCTCTAGTAAGACGTTTATACCCATGTTAGAATGCTGGCAATGGTTTAGCAGTTGCAGCATGAAGCTTCTGTGTAGGGTAAGAGCTTTTGCAGTGTTGGGTGTAGAGAAGCTGGGGGGTGTGAGCTGAACAGGTACGCTCAAACAAGCAGCAAATCTTACAGAAGGTTTCTGCAAAAATGTTTAACTTGCAAAGATATGTTGATTAGGCATGTGAAGGCACAGTCCTTGGCTGAGGTACCCATGGCAGTAGAGACTTCTGTGTACGTGGACTCATAATAGAACAACTTGCACTTCCATTGTTGTAGTTTGTTTGGCTCATAAGTGACATTTTTAATACATTTGTTTGAAAAACATGTTTGCTGACATAGCATATCTGTACCAGGTGTAGATTTCTAGTACAGTATCCTACTTGAGATGTGATGGATGAAAGAGTATGCATGTGAGTTCTTTGCAGAATACAATATACAACTAATTTCTGCAAGCAGGAAATGTCAACAAAAAATAAAACTGATAATTTGCAGAATATTGTTGAATCCACAAAATTAAACAACAGATACCCCCCACCCCCCAAAAAAGTAGTACAAATAACCAATATATTGGAATTATTTCCTGGTCAGCTGTGGAATATCAGTGCAGAAGATTGTTTGGATTATAACCACTGAAGATTCATTACTTGCATATGTAGGGAATGCACTGAAAGAATATTGGCCCACTTACAAACTTAAATTCCACCTGCCTCTTGCACTTTACTCCACAGACATGAATTACCCACACAAAACCACATTAACAATTTACATCTAAATACTTTAACCATCTAAAAACTTTTGCAAAGTAATTGATTCATCTTTATAACACACAAAGGTCTGTAAAGCCGATAGTTTATATTCAATGGAATGAATTAGTTCAGATATGAGATTGTAGCTAATTGGATGGTTCTGTTCTGTTGTGGAAATTAAGATTTCATGTTTTAAACTTCTAATATTTTATCCAAGACTGGAGTGGCTGTGGTTTCAAATAATAATCTTTGTAATAAATTTTGCTTGGCTGACCTTTTCCTTGGTAGTAGACTAAAGTTCACTTCATTTTGTTGATCAATAACACAAATAGATTTCTTCTGATGTTTTCACTAAAAATCTTTTTTTTAACTGTGTCTTCAAGCATACAGTAAGGAGTTAAATTTGTCATGCAAGATAGATTTCTGACTGGGCATATTTGAGGAAATTGTTGGCATGTGTTTCAGTTAAAGTTAACACTTGAAAAATTCTGGGAGCTAGAATTTGTGCAATAAATGAATAGAAGATTTGTTTGTGCATCCATGATTTCAGCTGGGAACACTGGAACTTGTATAGATGTATTTGTTGCACATAAGGAACTAATTTATTATTTTGCAATGAAAACATGTCATTGGAGAACTGACCTGATGGAAATAATGACCGACTGCATTCCTAGAATTATCCTAAGCAGAACCATTGGCCTTCAGAAGACCTCTAGTTTATAGCACTGCCAGTACGGACTTTGATTAGTCTGTGGTACATCTGTTGGCACCATTTCCTTGTAGGTATACTCCTTACTGTTCTTTTTACTGAAACAGTAGCGTATTCTTATTAGAATGATTTTAGTAATGAATGTCATCTGATGCTGTGCCTAACTAGTTAAAGTTAACATTTTTAGTATTTTTTAAAAAACTCTATTGTAAGTGGATAGCCACCTATTAGTTAAAAGTCATTTCAATGGTCTCTTTTTTCATAGGTTTATGAAAACATGTTACTTCATCACTGTGGCAAATGTCAGATTTAAAAGATTTAAATGTAGCTGCTGTTCTTAGTCTAACAGTGGAAAGCTATAATTTAAGTAGAATTGGGAATATATTAAAAAGGCATACAGAAGTGATTTTTCTATATATGTTCTGCAGTTTTTTTACTTCTACTAATTATCTTTTGCTGTCATCTTTTTCTTGTTTATCAGACTAAGTTATTGTAACAAGTACAATTAATATTAAGGAAAACTTCCTTGAATTCATTAGTACTTAGTTGTTACCACTTTGTTTGGATATGTGGTATTTTCCTTGGCAACCAGTCTTCGGATAATAATTGGTTTTTTTTTTTCCTGATTAATGTTATATCTTGTTCTCTTGATGTGTATCATTAGGTCCTGTCAGAGGCAGTCTGAACAGAGGTATGAAGTTTTAAACTATCCCTGTCAGCTGAGGCAGTTGCACTCCATTTAACTCTCCTCTGTTTTTGTGTCTTCTGCTTAAGTGTTTAAATTAACAGGCACGTATGTGTAGCATATAGCAAAAACGTTAAGGATTGACCGTTTGGGGGTGCTGGTGAGTGCCATGAGCTATAGCCTTTATTGCTGCCTTTAGGATTCTGAAAGTGTTAATAAGGTAGGTGAGTACCACAGGACTGGACATTCCATAGTACAGGACTGCTAAACTGTTGAGTTGCAAAAAAACCTAAACAAGCCGTCCCTGAAAAAACAAGGCAAAAACCTTGATAGTTTGGTAAGTCAAAAGATAAACTATGGTTTATTCTGGCAGGTTATGTCCAATAAAAAGTACTATTTCAAGTATTACTTTGATATTAAAAAAAAAATTCCTAAATAAAATCACCCTCCTTGTTTTTAAACAAACTTGCTATGTTAATACAATGTTACTCAAGCTGTTGAGCTAGTATGCTAGTATATCCCATTCTTGAAGCGTATAAGAGTAGGCACAAAACTACAACAGAGTTAAAAATGATGTTTTAGTCTTATTTGTGAAAGCCTGTCTTCTGTGGGTTTCTCAAACTGTAGCAAGGGTAGTATTTTTGTGGTTTTAGTTTGTGGCTTTGCTCATGTCTAAAATCATTGTATGTTTTGCTATTATTATGGAAAACTCTGATAAATCTTGCATACATGCATGTAACACCTTATTCATATAATGCTTAGCGGTTAAAAATATTAAACTGATAATATAAACAAAATACCTTTCTTATATCCTGGGGTTGCATTTCATAATCTTGTTGGATCAGGCTTCCCATGGTAACATCTGTATCATACTCATAAAACTGGAGGGATTCTTGCTGTATAGGTGGTGCTGAATTGACCAAAGGTACAAAGACAAACAAAAAAAAAGTAGTCTGCAAGGTCTTCATTCTTGCACAGAACAATGTATCTGGCTTTCACTGAGCCAGTGAAGATCTGCTCGTTTGTTGACTATGGAGAATACTTTCTTTGTGACTGGAAATGAAAAGGCAATCCGTCAAAACAATATTTAAAGCCTAGAGGACTAGTTGGCAGGGGTTTCTAACGCATAAGGAACATGGACAACTTTTAACTCTTGATATCCTTTAATTAGACTCTAACATTATAAAAACTGTTCTCAACATGAAAAGAAACTGGGAAATAATAAACAACATTTTCCAACTAATAAGGAAAATATTATCTTAATTGCATTTGCTTGTTTCCCAGTGTGTTATTTTTGTTATTAGCAAGAGGATTTTGTAAAGCATTTTATGAAACATTTGGCATGTATGTAGCTGAACTAATGAAAATGAGTGAGGCTCAAATGCATTTTTCTCAGTTGTCAAAATAATGATTTTTCAAACCGAAATGCTCTATAACAATAATCTCTCATTGTCTTTGTCTTTACATTTGAAAGCAAGCAAGAGAAGAATACTTAACACTCCCTGAATATTTTAGAGGTTGTACACTTTTTGGGCAGGGGGAGGAGGCTACAAACATAATCTTTAAAATATTTTAAATACACATGCAATGCTTTGAAAAATAAATCTTTACACAGCATTTTTTCCTGTTTACTGTAATTAAGTGTTTAAGTTAAAATTAGGTAAATATACATTTAGGAAAAAGTCCACCTACCGTTTTAGCAGATTCAAAGTTCTTCTGTGATTGTCATAAAACGAGATATCCTTACCTATAAGTTAACATAAAGTGGATTGAGAAAAGAGTAAAGTTATGAATTACATCCAAATTGTTGAAATGAATACTCTTTCAAAGTTTGACAGTCTTAAAAATGCTTTCCATGGGGTAAAAAATTTTCCCTAGGGTAAGAGGTAATATCCTGGAGCAGGGGGTTGTACTTTGAATAACGTTTGTAAACGTTAAGTCTGTCTAGCTCATCCTACTTTTGATTTACTTGTTAAAATGGTAGCCTTCTGCTTTGTGGTGATTTAGTCTTTATAATTGCTAAGGCTTTTTCTGTAAATCAAATATTCATTGTACAAACTAGAGGACTATAGCAAGGCATGTGTTACCCATTTTGTTTAATGGTTTAGCTGAGAGACAAAGCAGCTGCTTTCTGACTGAGACAGAGGTAGAGCCAAAACATACGTATACCATATTAGTCACATTTTATGAGTAATAAAAAGTTTCATTACAAGTTGTATATGTTTAGAGAAGTTTCACTTAAGTATGAAATGGAAAATTCTCAGTCTGAACAGTTGTAGAAACAAAAAATACTTCTTAGAATTGTGTGTGTGTGAGATTTTTCAGCCAAGTAATTCATATCTAAATGCTCCATTGAATGACTTGTTTAGACCATTTATTGAAAAATTGGTTTCACAGTAAATACTTATTTTGAGTGAAGTACTGTCTGTTCTATAGATAACTCAGTAAACACTGTCCAGGTGTAGAATTTTCATCTGAACTACAAGCAGCAGTTTTCTGGATTTCTAATGCATTTTTCCTCCCCCATCCTTTTTCTTATTATGTATTTTTGGCAGTCAGTACAAATGGGAGCCAGATGACCAGCTTGAAAGTTTACAAAGTGCCGTTTTTGAGTCTTTAAAAGGCATGTAGCAATAAAATCTATTGGGAATATATTCAAATCTGCATTTCTCTTTCATTACTTTTATTTTTTTTGAGATAGCACTGTCAGCTAGAGTAATGTTGGGAACAAACAGTGGACCTATTTGGTTACGTTCTCTTGTAAGTGCTGCCTTGTTTAGAAACCAGATACCTGTAGGAAATCTGCAAATCGGAGAGTGGCTACAGCTATTTGCTCTCTAAACTTTTTTCCAGTTTATAATCAGTTACCACTTTCTGAACTCATTAGGCTTTTATAAAACTGTTTTTTGTTTAGCTCATATGCCAGTTAAACAATGTCATTGTTTGGACTTGGAGCTTGCTCTAGAGTAATGATTTTGCTGTATGTAACTGAAATCTAAAGGGAAGAGGCTCAATAATAATGGAATTTGGACTCTTGAGTCTTATTGGTTGCTGTTCTGCTGGAACAATAAGAACAACAAAAGTTTTGAAGTGGCTAGGTTGTTAAGGTGTTTGCTGTTGCAGTACATAGGAACTTTCAGTCAGAAGTACTGAAGGAGAACAGGTACAAAAAAGTTGCAGTGTCAACACCGTGTTACCATCCCTCATGGTTTCCTGCATGTTTCAGAAGTCATGACAGCAGCTCTGCCTTGTACTTACGCCCTTCCAACTGCCACACCCCCCCCCCCCCCAAACATCCAGGTTAAGATTTCATCTGGCTCTGGGGTATCTAACATTTTCCAATAGTTGAATGTAATCAAAGCATAAAAGTTCTAAGGGGAAAGTATTAAGTATTGAAGCTGAAAAGCATGATATAAAATATTAAATATACTTGTTATATTCTTATGAGAATCTATTTTGTAAGTACTGAAACCCTAGATTTCACAGCTATGTACCTGGAATATTTTGGGAATAGCTTAGTTTTTTCCTTATATATGACAATTTTTAAAATGGGGGAAAATTACTAGATAAATGAAGTCTTGAAAATTTAGGAAGTCTTCATGCAAGAAAGCTATTACTTGCTTTGCTCTGCAAGAGGAGAGGTTCTGTAGTGTTAGAAGACTTTAGTAAAAGGTTCTGCAGAAAACGTTGTCAAAAGTCTGTGTTCATCAAGGTTACAAGATTTCAGTGATATGCTTACCACAAAAACACTGGGTACTGTGTGTACTCACTGCTGTTATCCAAGCACTTATGTGAAACTCATGGACACTTACAAATATATTTGAAGAGTGATACGTTAAGTAATTACTTTGGCATGATGTCATCAAGGTTTACCTTACGGTATAGTTTTACTGTCACTTTAAACTGTCAGGGCCAAATACAGTAGTCCTGTGCAGTATTTTGTCTGCTTGTCATCCCTTGTGCCAGGAAGAAAACAAAGTAGCAACAAATAATTTCAGATAAAACCTGTTTTTATCTGCACTTGTAACAGATGCTCATTATCGGCACAAGGAAGGGGATAGCACAAATAGCTGCAACAAGGAAGGATAGTATTGTTTTTTTATGGCAATAGTGATGCTTTATTCTTGTTCAAACTGACTTGAAATAACCACGATATCACAGAATCGTTAAGGTTGGAAAAGACCTCTGAGATCATCAAGTCCAACTGTCAACCCAGCACCATCATGCCCACTAAACCATGTCTGGAAGTGCCATGTCTCATCTGAAATGAAAAATGTGGTTCCTATGCATTGGCAATAGGGAAGCTAGCAGGAAGTATTCACCCTGGCAAGCAGAGCGTACTTCCTAGGCATTGTTAGTGCTTGGAAGTTTGGTATATAGGTATCTGTTGCTTGGACCCTAGCTGTGAGGATCTATGTACTTAGAAGGTAGTTTCTTTTCTGAGAATCTAAATGAGCTCTGTTGTCAACTAATTGAGCTCCAGTTTTTGAAGAGGGCCTTGATAATGTGTTTATGGTATGCTTTCTGATTTCTGATCAGGTGTGCCTTTTTACCCATGATATCTCATTTTCACTGACTGATTTCCCCACAAAGAACTTTCACCTGAAATGTTAGGCATTTAACATGGCTATTGCACTAATTGTGTTTGAAATGGGATCCTGGCTTAAATTTGAATGCTAGTAATTTCTGTTTTGTAAGAATATGAAATGTAGCTAAAGGTGTAAATCAAGTATAATGCTGCTTAACTTCTGGTAGAGGGAATCCAAGTCAGATTAACAAGGGACACTTGGTCTCTGGATTCTGCTTTCAGAAAAACTTAACTTTAGGGGAAAAGGGTTGCATACAGAGTAGGTGTAAAACTTATTCCTTGGTGTTGCCTTCTATCAGGTTAGACAATGAAAATAAAAAGCTTTTAGGAGAGAAAAAGAGAAGTTGGATGGGTGTGGATGGCAGAGGTAGGAAAGGTATGGGAAACCAACATGAAAATTAAGTTAACTATCCAAACTCCACGTGTTGCTGATTTAATCTTCTTCAGTATCTGGGAAGGAATCTAGTAGCTAGTACTGTTTATATGTCAAGAGCAAGTAAAGCAAAAAAATCAAGTTGAAAAAATCCTAAAGGAACTGAGGAAAGATTTTGTTTTGCAGGCAGGCGAGTGAGTTTTGTGAATTATTTGAACTGGCTGATGTTCAGCTCAGTCTATTTTATCTCACACTTGAAGAGGCCTCATATACTCTGCCCTGCTCAGAGCTGTAGTACGACTAGTTAATTTCTGATCTCACCTTTCTACTCAAAAAGCAGCTCAATAAACAAAAGTTTTTAAGGAAAACTAATTATGCAGGTGCATACTGCAAAAGCTGCCACTAGCAGTTCTTATCTATTGTTTGTTGCCAGAGAAAATGACACCGATTGAAATGGGAGGGCAATTCTCTTTATTTTCTGTGCGTTTCGCCAAAACCCAGTTCTCACAGGTGCTAGCATGTTAATTACCTTTTTACCATGTTGCTGTTTAGCACTTTTTACTTAATCCTTAGTAGTTTAGTACAAAAATAATAGGGGAGAGCTTTTTCTGTACTTCTTTTAGCATTGCTTTGAAATGCTGTGATGTATTCTATGATGGATCTGAGGACTGGTTGCTGATAATTATCGGTGTGAGGCACTTATATCTTGTTCCTGGTAAACCCCTGCAAAGTGCTGAGAACTGATTGACCTGCAAAGACCCAGATTACCAGAGGGGGTAGCCTTTCCCCTCTGTAAGGTTGGTTGGAAATTACTTCTCCAGGGTGCCTGTAGGAATTATGTGGAAGCAGGGACTGGCACTGCCTATATAAAGACTCGTGATTGTGTGATGGGAGGCAGAACACTAGGAAGTAGAGGGAAGAAGAAGGAAAAAGAAAAAAAAAAGGGCCTTCTCTCTGGGGTGCATGGGTTAACAGGGCTGTGAGGCAGCACTAGCGAGGGTGCTGTAAGGTTGCTATCAAGATATTCCTTATGAAATAAACCAAAGCTGAGATATTTTAAAATTTTTAAATACTCAGGTTTGTTCTATATTTAGGCAAAGAAAGTGTATCTTTGCAGCTGCTTAAAGACCTTGGCTTTCATCTCGTATCATAGTCTCTAAAGGACAATATTGGCAAGTTCTGTAGTTTCTGGGTTTTATTATTTTTATGTGTCCTTGGAAGAAAAAAGTATGGATTATTGCTTAGCTTACTTATGCCTGATGAACACTGGGAATAAATTATCCAGAATGTTCAAAAATTAGTGTCTTCTCTGAGGTAGAAAAGTGTCCGTGACAGAATGAGATGGGAACAAATTAGGCAAGCTTTTAAAGACTTCTGGACATTTATAGACCTAGACACAATGCTGAATTTTCTTTTGTATGTGATTTTTTTGCTCCATGTGGAAGGTAAATGTTCAATATTCCTTAGCATATCTTTTGTATGAAGTGTTGACAAGCTGCTCTGTATTGGAATAATTATAATAGAAAAGGTTTTATAGAGTAAAAGGTAGTTATTGAACCAGCCTGATAACATGCACAAAATAATCTGCAAGCAGTGAAACACAGAGGTGCTGTTAAAGATAACAAAGGCATGATGTGATGTTAAAACTGAACTCAGTGTTTGGGTTGTTTATTTTCTTCTTTTTTTAACCCAAAATAAATAACTTCAGTGTTCTGGGTTGTTCTAGACACCATTTTCTTTTTCTAAAATGCAGGCCTTTTCTGC